CTCTAATATCCTTTTTGCAGACATAAATAGTTTAAATATTTTTCTCTTCCGCAAACTAGATGAAGAAGCACAACGCCAGTGCGGTGCACTCGACCACATCCCACATATCACCAAAGACCGCACACAGCGCCCCATGCTCTCTTCAATTATCCCTATTACTATTATACGCCATAGCACTGTCCAACGCCAGCCCGATTTCTGTGCCCGAAATAGTTGGAAAGTCTGGAAAAAGTATTAACGGCGGCACATCCTCGTCCGCTTCGTTGATGATCAAGCCGAACATACAGGATGCTCAATTGAATTCGCTCAATGCCTATGCCACCAACTATGGCCAAATAGCCGCACAACATTCAAATAATGTCGCAAACAATGCTGGCGCCAGCTCCAGCAGCAGCATCCACAGCAACACGAACACAAACAATTTCAAACCCTCTTATAAACTACCTGATGTGGAGAGTAATTTCACGCCCATACAAAGGCTGAGTAGCGTCAACATCGTGCCACATGCTGCACCGCTAACAGGCGTTGCGCCCCATGTCAATAGCATTTCAAGTGATACTATGCCTCAGCCCACGCCCGTACTCATGCAATATCTGCCACAGGCAATGTCCGACGCTGGCGTGCACTATCTACAACTCATACCGACACGCCCACTAATTGTGCCGATAAGTCCGTATTTGAGTGGTGGAAATGCAGCAACGTCGGCCATGCAATCCGCCACACATGCACTACATCCGCCACTGGCCGCCGCCATCAATGGTGGCCCATTTGAGTATGCACCGCATACACCGGCAATATTATCAGCTGAGAACATCAATGTAGCCGCTATGCAACAGCAGCAGCAGCAACAGCATCATCCGACGCCGACGGCCACATTGCTAGATGTGTCAAATGCGGCGACAATGCCATATGGCCTGCAAACATATGCGAATGCCATACAACCATATCGCAACAGCTACCGTATAAATCGTGAAGTGAAAGGCAAAAACTTTCCCGGCACCATGGTACTCAATATGAATGAATATATACCGGGACCCAATGAGGCGCTGCGACCGCTGTATATGCGCGGTAGACCTTGAACGTGGTGGTGATGGGGTGAAGAAAAAAAATCTTATAATGCACGAAAATTTGTAAAAATAAAAAAGGACTCCCTACTGACTTCTGGTACAGAGGTGAGAGGATCCGAAAGGTGTGAAGTTCTGTCTACTAAAAATATGCACTCATCGTCAGTCTTTTTCAGGCCCACTATGGATTTAAAAACATTTTCCGCTACCACATTCCGAATTAAGGAATATTGAGGCTTTCAAAGCATTCTAAATAATTTAAAGTTATTGTGCAGTGAGCTCTGCGAGACATAAGAATTTTTAAAAGCGCCGACTAGTTTACAAATATTTTGCTTAAATGTATAACATTAAATTAAATAAATAAAATTATTAAAGAAAAAATTGTATGCAAAACTTACCTCAACCACTTTATAAACCATACATATTGTTTATAATAGTCTCCGCCCCCAGTCTGCTCATTTGAGTACGCACGTACGTGAGTATTCATCTTTGCCTGCTGGTAAATATAGCTTCAGATTCAACAAAACAGCATAAAACTAAACTTTTAGTGCCGCTACAACCAAACTTATCTATGTCTAAACCGGCTAAAATCTGAATTTCCTTGAGCAAAATATTCCCCAGAAAGTCTACAACTATGCAGCTAAATACTTCTAAAATTTTCATATTTTTTATTCACTTTGAAGTAGAGCTTTAGGCACAACATAACAGCTATATCGAAGCTACAGGTACCGACTTCTTTCTCACCCATTTATTACATTCTGGATAGTAAACTGATACGGAATATTTCATATTTTTGTTTTGTTCGCCTCCGACAACCCAAAGTTGATCATCTTTTGAAACACAACCCATCGCTCCACGTCCAATGTGCAAATAGCTCACCTATGAAAAGTAATGGAAAACTATTTTAGTTTTTTCAAATTTTTGATGATATTATTTCAACCACCTTTGTCCAATTGTTACTTTGAGGGTCATAACGCTCTACAATTTTATTTTCGGTAATCCACCTAAAACATATATGCATCCTTTGTGTACAGCTGCCTAAAAAGTGAAGGTTTATGAATAAATTCAAATAATTTTGTACATTGTTAATTTTCATACATACATGTATCCTTGCGATCAGATGATTAAATTAAGTGACATTTTGACCAGTTCTGGCTACTTTTCTTTTGTCTATTTAATGTTTATAATTTTTTTATATAAGTCTAGCAATCAAGTAATTTTTAAGCAAAAAACAAAACCGATTTCAATTCTCATATAAAAATTTAAGATTATCGTTAATTTCTTCATGATCCAATCATCGGATTTAAACCAAATTGAAATGGGACCACCTGTGAGGTAACACCTTTCCTTAAAAAAAAAAGAATTATAGAAATCGGTTAACGTGGTCCACAGTTATGCGGTAACATACATAAACAAAAAATAAAAAATAAAAATATTCCGACGAACTGATAACCTTCTCCTTTTTGTGAAGTCGGTTAAAAATATAACCGACTCCAATTCTCATATAACAAATTAGGAGTACCGTTAATTTCTTCATGAGCCATTGACCGTATATAAACCAAACTGGTATGGGACCACCCTACCTCTACTTTACTTTAAAAAAGGAATTATAGAAATCGTTTAACGTGGTCTAAAGGTATAAAAAATATTCCGACGAATTGATAACCTCCTCCTCTTTTTGAAGTCGGTAAAAAATTAAACCAATTACACCTAAACATTTTAAACTTTTTATTAAAAATTTTTGGTATGATGTTGATTAAATTTTAGTGCAAATTTCAAGACGCTAGAAAATCGCGTTGATTTCTAAAAATTTTTTTGGCTGACGGTGTTGAGCATTTTCTCCCATATACAGTATACCCGACAATTACTTTTATATGGAGGGAAATGCCTAGCATCGTCAGCAAAAAAAAATTATTAAAACTCAACGCGATTTTCTAGCGTTTTAAAATTTGCTCTTTACTACAATTTAATGGACTATAAAACTGCATACCTAAAATTTTTAATAAAACCCAGCAAACATTTGGAGTCATAAATGAGTCTTTAAGGAGTCCTATTTCGGAGCCATTACGCTCATAATGAGCTCATTTAAGAGTCCGATATGAGGGTGTTTCCCTTCCTCCGAAGCCCGACTTATATGAGCTTAAATTCATACATCAAATGAGCCTCAATATGAGTCATATTGGACTCTTATTGGCTTCATATATGGCTCATTTTGGACTCTTTTAAAAAATTTGTTGGCCTCATATATGAATCATTTCAGACTATTTTTGAGGCTCTTATCGGCCTCATAAATTACTACATTCGGACTCTTATTTTGGGTTGTTCTTTCAGTCTTATTGAACGCACTATATTTGCAAAGGTATTCAGCGAAAATTTCTTTCAAATAACATACGTACATACTTACGTGCATATACACATTCCAACATGCATTCAATAGCAGCAGCTGCAGCTAAATTTTGTTCATTTTTGGTCTTCTAATTATTTTCAATTTATGTACATATAAACAAGTTTAGATATAAATTTCAAATCTTTATTGTTTTTGTATTGACATAGGATGCTGGCTCATAACTTGGATCATATATGACTCCTAAAAGACTCATATAAGTCACAAATTTTTCATTTTTGAAACTCATATTTCTTACCCATCTAGGACTCCTTTGGGACTCATATATTCTGAACGCTCAAAATACATATGTTTGCGGGGAAAGTTTAAAATTGTTGGGTGTAATTGTTAGATTTTTAATTTTTATAAATTTTGTACGAAGTTTGAATTGTGGATTTATGTGGTGCTGGCTATATAAGTTGCTAGGCTTTTATAAGAAAACTATAAACATTAAATAGGCCAAATAAAAAAAGGCAAAACTGATCAAAATGTCACTTAACTTAGTCAGCTGTCCACAAGTGTATAGATGCATGTACTTAAAAGTACATCTGCGTAATTTACTTTTTCTTTGCTGACTTACCCCAGGAAAATNCGTAACATTCAACAGATTTTAAGTGACATTTTCCATCAAAGCCTCCAAAAACAAAAATTTTGTCATTAACGCCACTGCGCCTGCCTGGCATCGTGGTGTATTCATACTGCTAACTAATTCCCATTCGCTACCGGTTGAATACCTAAAACGGATTGATGATAAAAAAATTCATTTCTAGTTATGGTGAGTTAGTAAGAGTTATTTTAAAAGCACTTTAAGGGCCAATTTTTCAGTGCAAGTTTAAACTTAGATCACGTAAACTGCGTTTATCTATTATTCAGTATTCATTGTAATTGTTACGAGAATTCTTTATTTCCGAGCATTCAGGAGGGTTGCCACCTCCTTAAAAAAAAAAAGGTCTATTGTGCATAGAAGCACCAATAGCTGGCTTTACTGTCGAGATATCTCTAAAAACCATATTTACAGGCCGATTCTATTCAAAATATGTATTAACCACAAAAAAAAAACATTTGTTTCCGATTTTATTCAAATTGAGGACCTGTGTTATCCACATAAAACGAAATATTTTGTTTGAAATTTAACGCGATAGATGGCGCTGGCGTCGAGATATCTCCAAAAATCCTATTTACAGTCCTGTTTGTTTCAAACATGTTCCGACATGTACATACATACATGCATACATAGTACCGCTTGAAAAGATATTTTATTTGAAAATTGCCCCGGAGTCGAGATATATATGTATCTCTAAAACCCATATGTGACCTGGTCTACGAAAAGGGAGCTTACGTGCGAAAACTAGTTTTCTGTGAAAAAGCTGTTAAAAGTAAGCAACTCGTTTCGTCAGTTTCTCATTATCTCGTTAATTGTTCTCCTGCGCCGGACGTCCAGTAAGTGTTGTTGTTGGTCCAGTAAGTGTTGTTGTTGGTCGGAATATTATTATAGTTCATCGTGTAAGTTGCTAGTGTGGAACATTTAAAAAAGTAACACTGAGGAAGTGACGTTTACTGTTTCTGTTGATTATCGTCTTCGCATTTCGCATGAAATGAAACATGAGTGTTGATGAGGAGTTCAGTGCCGTATACGGACAATATTTCCATGAAAAGGATGATGAAAACGATGATGAAAACTATGAAGAGAGCGATGATGATGAAGACGAAGTACCAGGTCCATCTTCCTCAGGATCAACACGTAAAAAGATCTCAAGGAAAACGACAACAAAGAAAAATACATAAACTACTCAGCATTATTATTTTTGGCCCATAATACGTTTTTCTAGTGTATAATCATGTCTTTATAGCTTATAATTCAATGTATTTTGTTCGTTACCAATAAAATATATTTTTTTGTCGTATTTTTACTCTTCTTTCTCTACATTTTTAGTACACTTCTAAGCAAGTTAGGATTTTCTGCTTTTCACCACGTGAAAAAGCATCTCATCTTCCATCCGAATCAACCAAAAAGTGAAAATTGATTTTT